GACTCTTATGAAGAGGAAGAAGATTTGGGGATGAAAGCTACAGGTGTGGCATGGAACAAGATGGGACAGGACCTCACCTGCCCGGAGGTGCCACAGGCAGGGATTTGCAAAGCCTTCCTTCGTTCAAGAAAAACACCTTTTCGAATCGGAAGAAAAGCTGAATATTTAAGGGGAAGGAAGTAAATTAAAAAAAAACCCTCTTGGTATCTAGCGGCGTGCTGGAAACCCTGACTTGCTTCATACATGATGGTTTATTTAGAACATGGTTTGGCGAAGCAGCCGCTGTGAGGACTGTGTAACCTTAAGGAAGAGCTTATGATTGCTGCTAATAAGCAGCAATTTGATATAGCATTATCCTATGCACCATATTGGTATACAAATCAGTGTTTCTTCAGACAACTTTAAGATGTGTAAAAAAAAAACCCCTCAACTCCCAGAATTCCCCAGGGGATTGAGGTTAAGAAACACGGCTATGAATCAAACCGAACAATCAATCAAAGAGCCTATAATTTTTTTTTTTTAAATTTTGATTTATATGCCGCCCTTCTCCGGAGACTCAGGGCGGCTTACAATGCGTTAAGCAATAGCCTTCATTCTTTTGTATATTTTATACAAAGTCAGCTTATTGCCCCCACAAACTGGGTCCTCAATTTACCTACCTTAGAAAGGATGGAAGGCTGAGTCAACCTTGAGCCTGGTGAGATTCGATCTTACTTTAATTGCAGACAGCTGGTGTTAAATTACAGTGCTTAGTCTGCAGAGCTATCCAGGCTCCTATAATGACCTATAGGCCACGTTCAGGTAAGGCTGGGAAAGACCCTCGCAGGAATCCCTGAAGGCCACTGTCAGGGGAGCATCAAACCCAGCTCTGGAGACGATCCAGAGGCTAGCGGAAGACAGATTTCTCTTGGGCCTGGCTGAACATAGTCGTGAGGATTAGTTGTCTCTTGACAGTCCCCTTCCCTAATCTCCCCCCCCCCCTTTTTTTTTTTACACAACCTAAATTAACAGCCACACAAAAGACCCACAGGAAGGCTCACCCCCCCTGTAGAGGTTTTCATTAACTCCAGCCCCCCCCACCCTCCTCCTGGCTGAGAAAGTGGAAAAACCGCATTCTGCCCTCTTCGGCTTTGTGCTTTTGAAACAGGCATCAGAAAAATGGTTCGGGCGGCTGTTTTAAGAAACAAGAGGATTAAGCCGCCCGTGAATGTTATTTCTGGCAGGAACGGTGCATGCAATATCTCCCATATTGTTCCAGCTGTCATCTGCCACCCCATTTAAAGCACTTAGCCGCATACGATTTTTTTTTTCTGCTCCAAAGAGCTACTGGGGGGGAAAAAAATTATATATATATATATGCTTAGAGACAAGCCTGGTCTATTGAATTCTACACTCTCCTGTGTAGTGATGACAACCAGAATAAGCTTGGAAATATGCTTGGAGGATGGATGAGGGATTTGGTGCTGTCACAATCAGGCCAGCCCACCTCAAAAAGTTATGATAAGGCTGAAACGGACATCATCGCGAAGGACGAGGGGCTATAAGGTCGTCTGTGACTTATAAGCACAACGGGATGTTCGTTGCTAAGCAAAGCGGACGTTAAGGGGGCCCTGCCCAATTTTATAAACTTGTTGGAACTTGTCTCTCCTGGTTGTTAAGTGAACTATGAGCCTTGGTGGCGCAGCAGACTAAAGTGCTGTTAAGTAGCACCAGCTGCCTGCAATTACTGCGAGTTCAAATCTCACCAGGCTCAAGGTTGACTCAGCCTTCCATCCTTCCGAGGTAGGTAAATTGAGGACCTGGATTGTGGGGGCAATAAGCTGACTTTGTATAAAAAAGAACACTGCTTAGGGGGACCCGAAAGCCCTACTAAGCAGGTATATACAAAAGTATGAAGGCTATTGCTTAACGCATTGTAAGCCGCCCTGAGTCTCCGAAGAAGGGCGGCATATAAATCGAACCAATAAATAAATAAATAAATAAATAAATAAATAAATAAATAAATAAATAAACAATAAATAAACCCAGCTTTCCCCACTGTCTTTGCTTGTTGGAAGCCAGCAACCACCTGCAACTGTTGTAAATACAGATAGTCCTTGAATTACGACCACAATTGAGTTTTGCCCCCATTTTACGACCTTTCTTGCCTCTGTTGTTAAGCGAATCGCTGGCAGCTAGTCACACGGTTGCTAAGGGAATCTGGCTTCCCCGTTTGACTTTGTTTGTCAGGTCGCAAAAGGGGATCGTGTGACTCTGGTTCAGCAGCAACGGTCGTTAAGTATGAACCAATTGCCAAGCGTCTGAATTCTGATCACGCGATCGTGGGGGATGCTGGAAAGGTCGTAACTCTGAAACACGGTCCTGAGTCACTTCAGCGCTGTTGTAACTTTGAACGGTCCCTCAACAAAAGCTTGTAAGTCGAGGATTGCAAGTATACACAGTTTTGTCATTTGATGCAGTGACAGTTGCAAGTGCGAGGAGTTGTCGTAAGTCGCTTTTTTTTTCAGGGCCGTTGTAATTTCGAACAGGCACTAAACCAATGGTTGTAAGTGGAGGATTACCTGTAACAGGGGTCAGCAACCTGCGGCTCTGGAGCCGCATGTGGCTCTTTCACCCCTCTGCTGCGGCTCCCTGTCACTCAAAATATGCGTCACAACCGCCAATGTGCGGCACGTGATTTATTGAGCTTTTCAACCTCTGGTAGGCCAACCATGGATAAATCCAAGAAAAGAAAAGTTTCAGAAGAAAACAAAGTTTAATTCAACTACATATGCTAGTTTTGTGGCCGCTGAAGAAATAGTCAGGCACGGGAAGGGTTTTGTGGCTCCCGGAGTTTTCTTTTCTGTGGGAAACGGGTCCAAATGGCTCTTTGAGTGTTTAAGGTTGCAGATCCCTGGCCTCTAAGTATGATGAACCTTTATCAATGCCCAAAGTCTTGGCTCAGCTGTGGAAGCCAAACGCCTTTAGATATTACGAGCGAGAAAGTAGATGTCCATTAGGGGAAGGCAATTCCGGATTCATTGGCGAGTCTGAGCTAACCGAGATGTTATTAATTTTTCATCTCACCATAACAGCACAAACAAAGGACCGCAGCGAAGAATCAAAGGCAAAGAATAATGTGTTATATTGTTCACAGCTTTGCACTGATCGTTATCGCTTTTTTTTAAGGGATCAGAATTAGGAACGTGGGAGAGAACAGCTGAAGACCTGGTAGCTGCAGAGAGCATAAACAGAACTGGAGATTCCAGTTTAGCCCAGGGCCGTTATGAGACATTGGGGGCAAGTGAAGGAATGAATATAGTCCTTGGTTTACGACCACAATTGAGCCCAAAATTTATGTTGCTAAGTGAAATGTTTAGCAATAGCACTTAGACTTTTATACTGCTTTACTGCCCTCTCTAAGCAGTTTACAGAGTCAGCCTCTTGCCCCCGACAATCTGGGTCCTCACTTTACCCACCATGGAACGATGGAAGGCTGAGTCAACCTTGAGCCTGGTGAGATTCGAACTGCCAAATTGCAGGCAGCCGGCAGTCAGCAGAAGGAGCCTGCAGTACTGCACTCTGACCACTGCGCCACTGTGGCTTGTTTAAATGAGTTTTGCCTCACTTTACGACCTTTCCTGCCACAGCGATTAAGCGAATCATTGCAGTCGTTAATAACATTGTTGTTAAGTGAATCGGGCTTCCCCATTGACTCGGCTTATCAGAAGGTCAGAAAAGCGGATCGCATGACCCCTGGACACGGCAACCGTCATAAATACGAACCAATGGCCAAGACTCTGAATTTTTGACCAGGTGACCATGGGGATGCTGCAAATGTTGTAAGTGTGAAAAACAGTTTTGAACAGTCGCTAAATGAACTTCTTGTAAGTTGAGGACTACCTGTAATGAAGACATAATTTCTGGGTCCTTTTGGGGGGGAGTGGGAAAATTCCCTGTGGACGAATTCAGTTAAGGCAGTGGTGTACCCAACCTTGACAGCTTGAAGACTGGTGGACTTCAACTCCCAGAATTCCCCAGAATGTTAAAGTCCACAAGCCAAGATTGGATACCCGTAAGTTAAAGCAGGGGCGTCAAACTCAAATTTCATTGAGGGCCGCATCAGGGCTGTGGTTGACCTCGTGGGCCAGGGGTCGTGGCCAACTGGGTGGACATAGCCAGCTTGACGCCACTCACTAGGCGTGGCTGACTGGGTGGGTGCCGCCATCTGGATGGGCGTTGTTGTGGCCCGCCAGTGGCCAGCGGATCTGGCATTAGATTCGGACAATGAGGAGGTTGGGGAGGAACCTGGGCCAGTCCTGGAGTCTGGGGATGGCTCTGATGAGGGCTCTGCGTCAGAGGCAGAGATGGGGTCAGGGCCGTCTAACAGTTACCAGCTGCCTTCGGAGTCAGACATCAGTGAGGCAGATGAACAGCTGAATCCTGTTCCCAGTGTGCACATGCACAGAGTTGCCAGACGAAGGGAACAGCTAAAGAACAAGGGTCGACTCAGGAGTAAGGCCACAGGTGGATGATGAAGGGCCCACCCAGAGGGAATAAAAGAGGAGCGAAAGGGGAGTGGAGTTTGCAGGAGACAATTAATTCATTCCTGCATTCTTGCCAAGTATTGTGGGCGTCTGAAAGATATCAGCCTGGCCACTCTCCAAGATCTAATAGAGGTCGGTAATTGTGAACTATCTTGAAAGACAGTGGGAGAGGAAAGACTTTGCTGGAGAGGAATTCACTGTCAATTCAATAAAAGGGGTTTTTGTTGGGACAAGGCCAGCTTGACACCACTCCCTAAACTGCTGGCATGTTTCCTCTTTGCATTGGGTAGACCGGGCTGAAGTGATGTGGGCGGCCCTTTACATTTTCCAGAACGGCCTTGAGTTTGACACCCCTGAGTTAAAACAACGAAGAAGGAACTGTTCAGAAAGAAGCTGAATCATCATGTTTTGCCCTTCTAATGACCCAACAGGAACATGCCAAAAAGAGAATCCGATGCGGTTTCTTGCACTCACCTCCGTATCAGGGTCTGCTGTAGGCTTTTGCAAAGGGTGAGCGACTCCCCCATGAACATGTGGCACATGATCACCTCGCGGCAGGCAGCCATGAAGGACATCACGGCGTCGGACTGGAGGGTCCCACTCCGGGAGATGATGCAGAGACGCTGCAGGGAGGAACAGCAGCTCAGGGCGTGGAAGAACTGGGCGTTGGCGTGGAAGTAGGGCTGCTCAAGCCTGCGAGGAGGAAGAAGAAGAAGGTTGTCAAGTTCGCTTAACAAATTTCTCGCTTAGCAACATAAATTTTGAACTCAATTGCGGTCATAAATTGAGGATTATTTATACCCAGAATTCTAGCATCCTGGCTGGGGAATTCTGGGAGTTGAAGTCCGCTCATCTTCAAGCTGCCAAGGGCTGAGAAACACTGGACTAGGTGACCTGTCTGGTCCCTTCCAACTCTATGATTCATGGCTGGCTGGGGAATTCTGGGACTTGAAGTCCACCCATCTTCAAGCCGGCAAGGATGAAGAATAATGGCTCTTAGGGCAACGTTCGATTCAGAAGAATTGAGGAGACCTTACTAAATATCCTTAAATAGCAAAACAGATATAGAAAAAAGAGGGGGGGCAGCATTATCATGAAGCCGCTGGGAATTTGGGGAGCTATTATCTAACACTCTGGTGGTTGGGAGGGGGTGAAAATCAAGTTAGGGCAACTTTGAAGCCATTGTCTTCAACCATGGAGCAGGACTGGGAAAAAAAATCCCATCTTGTAATTTGCCGCTCGATCCACCAGATGGCGCTGTTGCTCTATCATCTTCTGAAAAGTCCTGATTAAAATTTACCTTTTCTAAGTCTTCCTTTTAAGGCAGATAAACATTTATAGAGGTGGAATAGAGTGTTGTGGTCTGCCAGTAGCCCACAGAGCGGAGCTAGCAGCGGAGTCGGACAGTAAGGAGGCTGGGGAGGACCATGGGCCAGTCCTGGAGTCAGAAGAAGGCCCGGATGAAGGCTCTGTCGGAGGCAGAGATGGGGCCAGGGCCATCGGGGAGCGATGTGCGGACTCCGGAGCCTCCAGAGTCGGACAGCAGAGAGGCAGAGGAACAGGAGGAGCCTGTTCCTAGTGCACGCATGCGAAGAGCTGCCAGAAAGCAAGAGCAGCTAAAGCAAAAAGGACGACTGGGGAGTAAGGCCAGGAGATGATTGGCCCCTCCCATAAGACTTAAAAGAGCAGCAACGAGCCATTGGGTTCTTTGTAGAAAAGCAACGTTGCTACATTTGTTTCTTGTCGGTGTCTCTTGCTTCTGAACTTCCTGGGGCTTTGCCAAGAAAAGCCTTTGGCAGGGTGCCAAAGAAGACAAAGGTTGGTGATAAGGCCGAAGGACTGTTTACGAAGAATTTGTTTTGGAATTGATTTGGACTAAGCTGAGAATGAAGTAATTCTCAGCTGTTCTAATAAAAGATGATTGTATCTGGCAATAACTACTTGGGCCTAGGTCACAACGTAGGGGGAGAAACAGCTCTGATTCCCAGATATTGCCCCATTTTGCATGGGAAAGAGGCCCCCTCGTCCTCAGTAAGGAACAGAGCTCTCTTGAATACCCTCAACAAGAAGGACAAGGCCTTAAGGGGGCTTTCTGCATATGCTGGACCAGGGGTCTCCAACTTTGGCAACTTTAAGCTGGCGGACTTTAACTCCCAGAATTCTCCAGCCAGCAAAGCTGTTCCACTGGTTATTTGTTTTAACTGTAAGGAAGTTTCCCTTTAATTCCAGGCTGCTTCTCTCCTTAGTTTCCATCCAAACAATAATTCCAAATAATTCCCTCAACACAGTCAAACTATTTACTAAGGCTGCACTACTATTAATCTTCTCATCGTCCCTATCACCCATCTCCTCCCACTTATGACTGTATGACTACAACTTGTTGCTGTAACCTTACGATTTATATTGACTGTTTTCCTAATATGGTTTGATTGCTTATTTGTTCCCTATCACTATCATTAAGCGTTGGACCTTATGATTCTTGATGAACATATCTTTTCTTTTTATGTACACTGAGAGTTTATGCACCAAAGACAAATTCCTTGTGTGTCCAATTACACTTGGCCAATAAAAAATTCTATTCTATTCTAATATTATGATGTATGGGGTATTTGGTATAATTGGTTGAAGAACAAGATAAAAACATGACTTTAGGATATGACCTGTTTTGCACATGAATTAAAGTTATATTGTATAGAATAATGTATAGTTAAGGATGAAGCTTTTTTAACATTTGTTTCACTAAATTGTACAAACACTGTACCTCCGAAAGGAGATAGAGATTGTATATTTTCTTTTTATTCTGGAAAATTCAATAAAGTATTTTTTTTAAAAAAAAAATTCTATTCTATTCTATCCATTGTTTCTTGTCCTGCCCTCTTGGTGCTTTGGAGAATAAGTTTCTTTTATTTATTTATTTATTTATTGGTTCAATTTATATCGAAGATATAAATACGCAGGGCAGCTTACAATGCGTTAAGCAATAGCCTTCATACTTTCGTATATACCTGCTTAGTAGGGCTTTTGCCCCCCCCACCCCCAAGCGGTGTTCTTTTTTATACAAAGTCAGCTTATTGCCCCCACAATCCGGGTCCTTATCCGGGCCCTCCAAGTTGACCCCCTCCTCTTTCTGGCAGCCTCTCAAATACTGTAATAATGCCATCATTCTTTTCTCTAGACTGGCCAAACCCAAATCCTGCAACCGTTCTTATGTTTTAGCCTCCTTTGGGACAATGAAACAGAAGGATCCCTGGGTGACAGGAAAAGCAAAGGGGAAAAAAAGCTGGTGGGCTCTCTCACCTGAGATCTTGCAGACACCTGCAGTGCTTCAGCATGTCCACCAGAGCCGACACGTACATCACTTTCCCCATCAGGCCCAGGTTGGCCAAGGAGAGAGTCCGCAGCCGCTGGCACTGCACCCCAATGTTCACGAGCCCGTAGCCCGTGAGAATATTGGGCAACTGAGCCAAGGTGAGGCTTTGCAGGAACGCCAGCTGGCCAATGGCAGCCACTTCAGCGTCCCCGACATGCTGCGCCCGGCTGCAAGGGGGCAGGGAGTTCCGAATGGCCGGCTCGTTCCGCGGCATGGCCGAGGAAAAACTGGAGCCGATCAGCTCCAATTTTTCCAGAAACGGGAGGTTTTCCAGAAGAGTCCAAAAGACAGAGGGCGGCGGTCTGGGATGGCTCTGCTCCAAGCAGTTCCTGGGATAAGTCTGCACCCCGATGCGGACTTTTTTCCCGAACCCTTGAGAGACCGAGTGAGCCACCGGCTGCACCGAAGGCTTGTCGACCGTCAGCAGGGTGGCGGCCACGTCAGCCACGGCGCAAACCGGCAGCGCCAGAGAGAGGAGGCCTTTCAGACGAGCGAGGACCTGGCAAAGGTGCTTCCCCAGGGCTTCCGGACTGTGATGGTGGGCGGCGGAGAGGTTGAGGTGCTTCAGGTTACAGCAGGTGTCCACCAGGGCTTCGGCGATACCGCTATCGATGTCGTCTTCCGCTTTCCGCAACAAGGAATCGGGCGACAGGCAGTGGACGCAGCCGCTCAGGTTCAAGCCGACCAAACTGCCCAGGTCTTTGCCGCTGTTCAACACGCGCTGGACCAGCTGCCCGCCAGACAAACTGCAGCGGCTGAAGCTGAAGTAAAAAGGGTTACTGAACTTCAAGTGCTGCAGGAGGCTGGATCCGTTCATCCAGGACCGTGGCAGCTGAAGGGCGTCTAAGGTCACGTTCCTGGCCATGGAATCCAAGAGGTTTTTAACGGCACAGCTCTGGGCAAACCCACCGGGGGCGGAGATGAGGAAAGCGTGAAGTTTTTCCGGCGTCCGGTCACTCAGCACTGCTAAGTACAACCTCACCACTTCCTGGTTGACCGGGCCAGGCGCCAACCTGGCGTAAAAGACCCGTAGGTTCTGGTAATGGGGCACGTTGCTCTCTCCTACCATGAGCTGCCCGGAGATGATCAGACCTTCCCGGGATCGATCGAGGATCTCAAAATACAACAGCAGCTTCTCCAGGCTGGTGCAGCAAGGAACCACCCCGTAGGAGGGCGTGTAGAGAGTCTGTTTCAACTCCAGCACCCGGCTCAGGGTGGCTTTGCACTCGCTGCTCAGGTGGGAGGCGTCGAAGCCGGGGTTCACGTCGATGGCCAACGAGCGGAGGTGCTGCAGGGCCGAGAGCATCTTCGAAAGGCGAAGGGAGGTGAGGTGGCAGCCGGAGAGGTTCAGCTTCACCAAATTCTTGCAGCGGGTCACCTGATCGACGGTCGAGCCAGGCAACCAGTAACAGCCGGTCATGTCCAGCTCGTGGATTTCTTTTCCGATCTCCTTCATCAGCTGTTTCACCTTGTCTTTGTCCACCTGCAGGGAGATCAAAGGATCCTGGTTATGGCAGGCCTAGATTTATTGATCAAGCTTAGGACAATTCATACACGCCTTTTCAGGGACTGAAGACTGAAAAAACCAAATTTTATGATCACGGGCAAGTGATGGAGAAACTATATGGGAAGGGAATGTGAAAGCAACCGCCATTGATTCTGGTGGGAACACCCTAAATCTTCCCTACACAAAGGCCATCTTTGATGTTAAGAGGCCTCTGGAAATCTCTTCAAACCAAAGAAGGTGCATTTATTCTATGTATTTATTTATACCCCACCTTTATTATTTTTATAAATAAATTAATGCGAACACACGCTATTCTTCTTCCTCCTCCAATTTTCCCCACAATAACAGGGGCTGAAACCGAGGGACTGGCCCAAAGACACCCAACTGCCTTTCATGCCCATGGCAGTACTAGAATTCAGTGTCTCCTGACTTAGTACCTTAACCATGTTAAAAGCAGATTCCCCTCACAGTCGTTTCCTTTTAGCCTGAAAAGGGAAACAACACAGAGACCGGTTTCTCACAACCAGCTTTGACCAACTAATGTTCTTTGGATGTGTCGAGATTGCAACATTTTAAGGATCCTGGGCAGCTCCATCACGTCTGGAGGAGCAACAGGTTGGCAAAAGCCAGCTTTTTCAAGCAGGGAAAATGGTTTTTGAGAGTGGGGGATTGGCGGGAGGAGGGCTGACATACTGCAAAGGACAAAATTTCAATCTGTGGGATTGTCTTGGGACGGTGGTCTCCAGGTAATTGGATCAAAGAATAGCCTGGCCACCAAATTGAACAGACCTAAGAGACGGTATAAACAGACAAAAGGGGTTACATTAATGCAGAATGGTGAGCTTAGGATAACTCCAAAGAAAACCAATCAGTATTTTTTCCTTATATCCTTCTAAAGTCAGGATATTTTCCCCTTATATTTTTTCCCTTATATCCTTCTTAAAGTAAAACGAGGAAAGGATAATTCCCCCATCCTAAGGCCATAAGAAAGCTCAAAGGAAGAGCTTTTTAGGGTCATGTCTTCAGTCTCTTCTTGCTGCAGAGTCCTGGTGTGACCGAGAGAGACCCGCTGACTGTAAATCAAGATTTTTAAACACCCGGTTCATCCAGCGTCGTCCTAATTCTGGATCGTCTTCGGCAGCCCCTGCTCACCTGGTAATCTTTATGCAGCATCACCGTGTGAGTGAGGCTTTTGTCGAGACTGAGAGTGGAGAGTTTCCGACAGACGCTTCGCACATTCAAGACAAGATCCGACACGGAAGTATATCGCAGGATGTGCAAGAGGATTTCGTCGGAAAACTCCATTAAGTTCATGCCGATATTCTCCTCCTGGTTCTCCTCGCCGGTTACGTCCTGCAGGAGGAAAAACAAGGACTCAGAAAAGGACACAGTAGAAACGAAAAGCTGGGGAAGGAATCGGTCCGATTCCTCAAGGCACCCAATCAACTGAGAACTGTTGCGGTATCATTTTTACTACTTTGTCTTGAAAAGACCGTTTTGGTGGGTGATTTAATGACACAGCTGGTCAAGGAACAGAGACAACTATATTTTAGGAGCTGCTGAGACAGCATAGAATGAAACTGTTTCAAAATTCAGCACCAAAGGCTGAAGGATGCCTAGACTAGAGAGTAATGGAAGCACAGGAACCCCAGTATTGTGCCTGCATCTTATCTCTGCTTAAGGCTACCAATAATACTTTATAGCAGGGGTGTCAAATTCAATTTCATTGAGGGCCGCATCAGGGTTGTGTTTTACCTTGGGGGAGGCTGGGAGGGGCATGGCCAGGGGGCATGGCCAGCATGACATCACTTGTGTCAGGGGGGGCACCTGTAGTGGCCCAAGCACTCTGCCAGCAAAAACGGGTTCCCAAGCTCCATTTTCAGCTGAGACAGCTTCCTGCAACCCTCCGGAGCTCGGGGGGGCTGCGCCTGGCCCTCGCGAGCTCTGTTTTCACTGGCAGAGGCACCATGGGCCGGTCCTTTGCTATTTCCAGGGCGGCTTCGCGGGCCAGATCTAAGCATCCTGCGGGCTGGAACAGACCCCCGGGCCTTTGAGTTTGACACCCCTGCTTTATAGGCCCAATGACTCGGGATGGCTAAACAATCAAACAATGAAATTACAATAAGATTATTTAAAGATAAAAGATGGCAGGGGTATTGATGCAAGGGGGAGGGGGTCACCCACACTACCCTGCTTTCAGTTACTGTGCACTTCCAAGGTGGCTACTTCCTTTTCTCCTGAGGTGCCTTCCGTGTAAAGGGTTCCCCCCCCACACACACACATTTTATGCTTTTCTGTGTGCCTTTTGTGCTGACTCCCGATGACCACCTGGACTAGCCCTGCAAGATCTTCCTTGGCAAGATTTAGAAAGTGATTTGCCATTGCCTCCTTTTTAGGGCTAAGAGTGAGCAACTGGCCCAAGGTCAACCAGCTGGCTTTGTGTCAGAGATTCTTCATCACCCAGGTCCTGGTTATCCCAAAGGTGTTTTTTTCCCAAGAGGCAACTGGACTTTCTGTTTTTTCTTTGAAGATGTTTCGCTTCTTCTCCAAGAAACTTCTTCAACTCTGGCTTTGTGCCTAAAGTGAGACTAGAACTCATGGTCCCTTGGCTTCCAGCCTTCATCACTACAACCAAACAGGCTCTCCAAGACCCTTTTCTTTCTTTAATAATCTACTTATACTTCTTCTACTTCTTCTCCTCCTCCTCCATCTCCAAACAATCCATCTGTTAAACTACTGAAGTTTGCAGATGATACAACAGCGATCGGTCTCATTCGAGGCAAAGATGAATCCTCATAAAGACGGGAGGTTGAACAACTAGCCTCGTGATGCGACCGGAACAATCTGGAACTGAACACACTCAAAACTGTAGAAATGGTGGTAGACTTTAGGAGAAATCCTTCCATACTTCCACCTCTTACAATACTAGACAACACAGTATCAACAGTAGAGACCTTCAAATTTCTAGGTTCTACCATATCTCAAGACCTAAAATGGACACCCAACATCAAAAACATCATCAAAAAAGCACAACAAAGAATGTTCTTTCTGCGCCAACTCGGAAAGCTCAAACTGCCCAAGGAGCTGCTGATCCAGTTCTACAGAGGAGTTATTGAGTCTGTCATCTGCACCTCCGTAACTGTCTGGTTTGGCTCTGCAACCCAACAAGACAGACACGGATTTCAGAGGATCATTAGAACTGCAGAAAAAAACAATTACTATCACCTGCCTTCCATGGAGGACCTGTATATTGCACGAGCCAAAAAGAGGGCTGTGAAAATATTTACAGACCCCTCACATCCTGGACATAAACTGTTTCAACTCCTACCCTCAAAACGACGCTATAGAGCACTGCACCCCAGAACAACTAGACACAAGGACAGTTTTTTTCCAAACGCCATCACTCTGCTAAACAAATAATTCCCTCAACACTGTCAAACTATTCACTAAGTCTGCACTACTATTAATCTTCTCATCGTTCCCATCAGCCATCTCCTCCCACTTATGACTGTAACCTTGTTGCTTGTATCCTTATGATTTATATTGATATTGTTTCCTGATAGGGTGCTTATTTGTACTCTATGACTGTCATTAAATGTCATTAATGACTATCATTAAACCTTATGATTCTTGACGAACGTATCTTGTCTTTTTATGTACACTGAGAGCGTATGCACCAAAGGCAAATTCCTTGTGTGTCCAATCACACTTGGCCAATAAACTCTTCTCTTCTCTTCTCTTCTCTTCTCACTCTACTCTACCCAACCCAACCCAACCCAACCCAACCCAACCCAACCCAACTCTTGCATGGTTGCCCGACTCTCCAGTCCTTCCTTGCCTTGCATTTCCTCTCTTCCATTTGCCCACCTGAAGAACCCTTTAGCAACTTGGACGAGGAAGGCAAGGCAAAACCTAACTGGCCAGGCAGGCTGTGGATGATGGGAGACACAGTCCCCCCCCCCAAGGCTGTCTGTCTTGAAAGCCCTTTCCCATTAAAATGCAGGATCCAAACAGCTGGTTTAAGAAAGGTGGGGGGGGGAGGTTGTCCAGCACATCTGGAAGGGGGCCAGATTGTCACTCAACATTCACTGACCTGCAAAAAAAAAAAAAAAAACCCAGAGCCCCCCGAAGGCCCCCCCCCCACTTCCATGGCCGTCCAATGCCACAGGGACCCTTGCCAGAAATAGGACCCCTCCCCAAAATCGCGGCTGCGGCTGCCAAACGAAGTTTCCCCCCACCCGCGAGGCACCCCCTGCCCTGACACGCGGCCTCCCGGGTTCAGACGTGCCCTGCGAGTCAGGGGTTGCCATGGAAACGCCGAGGCTCACGGGGAAGGCGAGGCCCTCGGCCCGAAAAGGAGAAGGCCGAGGCCTGTTCAGCGAGCCGGGCTTACCTCACCGGAGGAGGACGCCATGGTCGGGAAAAGACCCCCGCCCGAGCCAGCCGAGACGCTCGCCCTCCGTCTCCTCGCCTCATACGGCTTTCCCTTCAGCCGGCACACCGAAGCGACGCGAGAACTTCCGGCGCCCCTCTCGACGTCACTTCCGCTCCTTTTCCGGCCGCCATCTTACATGAGGCGCCAAAGGCGGTCGCGCCATGGTGGGCGTGGCCTCACATGCAGCCGGAATGTTCCAATTATGCACCACTGCACGGGGGGGGGGAGAGAGGGAGGGAGAAAACTGCCCGGGTTTTCCCAACTTGGGAGGGGGGGGACCCCACCCCAAACTCGTGCATTTGAATTGAGGGGGGGGGATCTCTCCCCTGCAGGTGCACATGTGGGTTAGAAGGGGAGGGGGGTGCAAATTCTGACCTGAAATTTGGGGGTTTCCAAGCCTGTGCAATTGCCATTTTAAAGCCTTTTGTGTTGCTCCCGCATTTGTCTATGGAGATTGTCAAGTCATCCATAGAATGCATAGAATGAAGAGAGTTTCAGTCAAACAGAATAGAGTTGGGACTAAGGGACCTTGTAGGTCATCTAGTCCAACCCCCTGCCCAAGCAGAACCTATACCATTTCTGACAGAGGGCAGTCCAGTCTCTACTTGAAAGTCTTCCAAGACTGGGCTGCACATCTGTCAAAAATGGTGTAGGTTCTCCTGCTTGGGCAGGGGGTTGGACTAGATGACCTACAAGGTCCCTTAGTTCCAACTCTATTCTGTTTGATTTGAGGGCTGAAGCTCCCACAGCTTCCGTTGTACTGTCAGAAAATTTCTCCTTATTTCTAGGTTGAATCTCTCCTTGGTGACTTTCCATCCATTATTCCTTGTCTGGTGCTTTGGAGAATAGCTTGACTCCCTCTTCTTTGTGGCAGCCCCTCAGATATTTGAACCCTGCTCTCATGTCTCTCCTGGTCCTTCTCTTCACCAGACTAGCCATGCACAGTTCCTGCAACCGTTCGTCATATGTTTTAGCCTCCAGTTCCCTAATCATCCTGCTTGCTTTTCTTTGCACTCTTTTCTAAAGTCTCAACATCTTTGTTGAGACTTTAGAAATCCAGGTCAAAATCCAGGTCATAGTTGTCCCAAAGGTGCTTTTTCAAGAGGCAACTGGACTTTCAATCAAGAAACTCCAGTTTCCTCTTGAAAAAAGCATTTTGTGGACTCCCAACATCTGGTTTTTTTGCAGTTAGGAACTTGGAAGATGAGTGGACTTCAACTCCCAGAGTCGTCGTCCCCCCTACACCTCCAACATACATGGACCTCAATTCCCAAAATTCCACCAGCATCCAGACTGCAGCTCCCAGAATTCCCCCATCACCATCATGCATGGATTTCCCAGAATTCTAGGGGGGGGGATGCTGGGAGTTGAGGGCCATCTACCTTAGAATTACAAAGTTTGAAAAACGTGATTTAGGAAAGTATTGGTTGGAAAGACTTCATGAGATTGGTTGTTATTGGGCATCATGCATTGTGGGGATGCCACCACTGGCTCTTGCAAACTATGGGGTTTTTATCATCTTGTGAAAGAAATTATGTCCTGCCATAATCCTAGTTTGATGGAATAATCCTTTTCGGGGCTGCAATTTGCCTAAACTTACAAAACATTTTATATAGAGAATAATCGGTATAATTGCTTAGAAGAGGAGCTGAAACTGTAATAAACAGGAATTGCTGGTTTTGCTCTCTATTTTCTTACTTTTAAAAGTGTTTTTTTTTTTCTTTTAAGATGTTCATCATCTCCTATTCTATTTCCCAGCCTGCCATGCATGGATTTCAACTCTCCCAGGATTTTTAGAGGAGGAATTCTGGGGAGTTGAAGTCCATCCATCTTCAAATCGCCAGGCACGGAAATCAGTTTTGGAGCGACATGCGGTGTGATTTGGCCTGTGAAAAGACAGTCATCCTCTCCCAACATACCTCACAGGGTTGTTGTAAGAAAAATTAAAGAGTATTAGGTGGGTTTGCTGCCTTGAGTTACACTTACAAAATAACTAGACGGATAAAAACCAAATCAATAATATTCTGTTCTCTGGTCATCTCAAAAAGAAAGCAACTGTCAACATTGTTGGTAGTCCAAATTGGGGTTTTGGCTCCATTGTTGAGCGTGAAGAACTTCTCTAGGTCCCCCATCTCTTTGGAATAAATAACAATACATCCTTTAAACCTGGGTTCTCCTCCCACCTTGGCAACTTTGAAGGCTTGTGGATTTTTTAAACTCCCAGAATTCCCTAACCATGTTGCGCCTGGGGAATTCTAGAACTGAAGTCCGCTGTTGGTTGACAAGGTTGGACACTCCTTCTAAAAGGGACCTTAGGAAAACAAGTTTTGGAAAAACGTAAGGAAGCAAGATTCTGGGTAAGGGGGTAACTTGTGCCAACTTTCTAACTGGCCAAGTTCCCAAGTCCACCAACGACACCTTCCCGCTGGCTTGATTAAAAACCAAAAACAATCCAGAGTTATGGTTGTGCATCTTTATTTGAAACTGGGGTTTGTTTTGTTCTTTTTTTGAGTCAGTGTATACAGTTTTGCCTGCCCCTCCCCTCTACCCTGGTACCCCTTACACATACTGGCATCAAAAGGGTGCAATGGGTGCTTTCCCTCTGGGAAGTGGGGAGGGGGAAACACAGAAGGGAGGGAGAGACTGTAAAAACCCTTCACACGTTCGTTCCATTGGGAAGAAGAGAAACTCGTGCAGCCCGTTTATTTTTTATTTTATTTTTATTTTTTTGGACCTGACCCAAAATAATCTTAAAAAAAAAAAAAAATGACGATCAAGTGTGGCTATTTTTTTAAAGTTTTGTTTTAAGGCGCAAGAGACAAGAGACACTTGAATCATGATTCACAGACAGACAAAGCTAATACTTTCTATAAAAAAAAAGGAATAATAAACCTCGGAAATCTGGTTTTGTGCTCTTCGAGAAAGAGCTGGGCTGCCGCCTTCAACAGAGGCCGGTTTAACTTCCTCTCAATGAGTTTTACAATTATTTGGAATGACTTGTTTTCAAAAAGAAAAAAGAAACAACAAGACACATACAATCGAAGTCCTCAGATGCACTGCAGAACTGGGGGGGGGGGGGGGGGGCGGGGGGGGGGGGGGGGGGGGGGTCGGAGGGGGGGAGGTGTTCGCTCCAAAACTTTTTTTTTTTTTGCATTTTTGTTTTTAATAAAGGCTTCCACCATCAAAACCTTTTCTCACCGTTCCAGTTTTGATATCCTGAGTCAAAGCGCCAAATAAACAAATAAGCCATGCCAAATCTCAAAACTTTTTCGCTTATGCGCAAGTTATGGGGGGGGGGTTATTATTTTTTTTTTGTTAAAAAAAAAAAAAAGGAAAAAAAATGCTATTGTGGTAACTGAGTCCTGCTTTAGAAGCATTTGCGGTGAACGATGGATGGTCCGGATTCATCGTATTCCTGCTTGCTGATCCACATTTGCTGGAAGGTAGACAAAGAGGCCAGAATAGACCCTCCGATCCAGACGGAGTATTTACGCTCAGGTGGGGCGATGATCTGGAAGATGACAAGAGGAAGCAATTAGAAGGGAAGCTGAATCAAGTGACTGATCTTCAAGATCCAATGCATCACATTTTTTTAAAATGACCCCCCATAATCCCTTGCGAAGTGGAGTCTGCGCAACTGAATGGAAGCTGAGTGTTTACTGGCCGGATGCCCTTCCCTGTCGCCAGGGCAGAGTTTTGTTCAGCAGATATAGTTCTCAGGGTGCCCAGAGAGAGAAATACCTGCCTCTAATTAGGATCAAACTCACAGCCTCCCGATTGTGAGGCGAGAGCGCCACCTCTAGGCCACCGCATCCCTCCATCCAATGCCATCACATGCTGCTAGTTAAAGGACAGGTGGGGGGGGGGGCAAACCATCCCTCGGCTCCCAATTCTTGATACAAACCTCCATAATCTACCAACTAGTTTGGCCACCCGGTGGGGACAATGCAAGGTTTTCTCCATTGAGAAGGACAAGCAGAAGTTGTGATTGCTAACCCAGTTTGCTGCTTGGGGCATCACAATGTTCCAAGCTTATAGAAGGAACTACACTCAACCTAGCCCCCCCATAGGCCCAGGTGTCCAGGCTCCAAGTCTCACCTTGATTTTCATTGTGCTGGGTGCCAGCGCGGTGATTTCCTTCTGCATCCGGTCGGCGATGCCAGGGTACATGGTGGTGCCACCGGAGAGGACGGTGTTGGCATACAGATCCTTACGGATGTCAACATCACACTTCATGATGGAGTTAAAGGTAGTTTCGTGGATGCCGCAGGATTCCATGCCTGCCAAGAGAAGATGCCCACTCTATGAAGACAAGTAGACACCAAAAACCCCACTACCTTCTCCTTCCCTTCCAGATGCCCTTCAACCAAAGTTCAGATTCTACTGGAAGACAGTGGTCCTTCAAGGACTTACCCAAGAAAGATGGCTGGAAGAGAGCTTCTGGGCACCTGAATCGCTCGTTGCCAATGGTGATGACTTGCCCATCGGGCAGTTCGTAGCTTTTCTCCAGAGAGGAACTGGACGCGGCGGTGGCCATCTCCTGCTCAAAGTCCAGGGCAACGTAGCACAGCTTCTCCTTGATGTCACGCACAATTTCTCGCTCAGCCGTGGTGGTGAAACTGTAACCTCTCTCGGTCAAGATCTTCATGAGGTAGTCGGTCAAGTCGCGGCCAGCCAGGTCCAGACGGAGGATGGCGTGGGGCAAGGCGTAACCTTCGTAGATGGGCACAGTGTGGGTGACACCATCACCAGAGTCCATCACAATGCCGGTGGTACGGCCAGAGGCGTACAGGGAGAGCACAGCCTGGATGGCAACGTACATGGCTGGGGTGTTGAAGGTCTCAAACATGATCTGGAGATTGGGGGGGGAAAAGAGAGAGCCGTGAAGATCTGGGCCAACGGGAGGTTCCATCTACGGCATGCGCAGAACAACACTCTCGAAAAAATATCAAACACATGCTGGACACGTACAAACCTTCATATCCCAGGTGTTAAGGCAAATCACCCCTCTCCTCCTCCCTCTATTTGCATATTTCAATTTTGCAAATTCACCA